AGGGAGGGGGCGCTGCGGCGGCCGCGGCAGCAGTAAATGGCGTCATGTGGATCCGAGGCGGAACAGAGCAGTTGTTGTCCCAGAGGATATATCGCATCCGGTCCCAGCTCATTGGCTCCGCGGGGCTACATTCACTCGCGCTCCAGCGCCGCCAACGCTCCGAGCCGCGGGAGGCTTTCCAAAGGGCAACCGCGCCGCCTCGCGCGTCCATCCGCAGGCCGCGCTCGCAGCCGCGGCGCCGTCACGCGGGGCGCTCGCGGGTAGGGAGGGGCTGAGCTCAGGCCGCGGGGTCGATTCGTCGAGTTTCAAGGAAACGCTGACCTTAAGATTTTCCCAGAGGCCCGGAAGACGAGCCGTAGCCCGGTCTCACTCAAGGAAAGTTCGCGCCACTAGGAAGAAGGAACGGACCTTTAAAACTAGCTCATCCCGGCCATGCAGAACTAGCATTACAAACAAGTTGCGGCGTTTGAGACCTTCCAGAAGGGACTGCGAGTCCGTCTCGTCCTTTTTCTGTCCCTCCAGGCCCTCGCCCGCAGGACTGAAGAAAGAGGCGCGCGGGGGGAAGGGAGTGGGGGAGGGGGGCGGGAAGTGAGGTGGGAGGGCTATTGGTTTATTCTTTGTCTGCTAGATTAACCCGATTACACACCAGGCACAAACCGCCTGTCCCACCTCAGAACCTGGTATGGGAGGCCCAGAATGCAGATTTGATATTCAAGTTCTTTAGGGTTGTCGGGGTTTGCTTTGGATTGTGTCGCTTTAATAGGTTTACGGCTTGCTTTGTTTTTAGGTAGGTTCATTACAAGATGGAGACATTTCAGATCATTGCTCGTTTATTTGGTGCAAGACATTTCTAAAAGATAAACTTTTTTGCAAATTAGTTAATTCAGTAATATGCATGTATTACTCAGCTACAGCTCAGCTGTGAGATGGAGTGGGGAGGGAGTGCCATTCTGACCAGGTTTCCTCCACATAACCAGAAGTGATTCTGCATTTGCGGGTCTCCTTACCTAGAACCCTTTTCGAGATGATCCTATTGTCTGTTTTGAAGGTGGGTTGTATTTTAACACTTTTGAGAATAAATAGAAACAAATATACAACACATGCATGCATTCTTAGTGCGGGTCATTTACTTAGAAATGTGCTTGCTTGTGGGAACATGAGTGGGACGTTAAAACATACACACCCATTGTATTCTCTTGTGTACAAAAGAGATTTTGCTTTAGTTAGCGCATAGGTTCCCAAACCTACTTGGCCTACTGCCCTCTTTTCAGGAAAAACAACAACTTTCGCTGCCCCTGGCAGTGAAAACCTTTTGTACTGTAGCCCATAATCTAGGATAAAGTATAGGTATCTGCCTGTGCAGCCACCTCTCACCCCCATAACCCCCATAACCGCATCACTCACTTTGGGAAACATTGCTTTAGAGAGAAGTTAACAGTTTGTAGGTGCAACACTCCCTAATAGCCACCCCCCCACACCACCCCCGTGAATTGGGCCCCATGCAGTGTTAAAGTTCTTGAAACAGTGCTTGAAAAATCTGGTGCTGGACTCCCCACAATGCTGTTCCTGAAAACATCCATTTGGCACTCTGGTTCCTCCAGAGCTATAGGGCCAGAAATCCTCCGCCCCCTGCCTTGCTGCCCTCTCACCGAGCCTTCTTCATTCTTCTCCAGGACTCTGCCCAGGTTTGAACCTAGAGGTGGCAGGGGACGTTTCACGTGCTATTATTTTCCGGAAGCTGACTAACTCGCCCTCACCTTGTGGGTGAGGGTGGACAAAGTTAAGTCAGCCAACTTACCCGGCCTCCTTAGGGCTGAGATCGTACGTTGGTGTGACCTCCATAGCCCCGGGCTGCCCACTGGACAACACGGTACTGGAATGGAGTAGGGGCAAGGTGTGCTTTCCAAAATATGCCCTAGCACAGCTGATCTAAAAGAAAAGGCCATTCATCATTTGAAGACCACGGGAGGTATAGTTTTCCCTACCATGCCTTCAGACCGCAGTGACTGTTTTTTGAATGGGAGATGAATTACCTTGGTGAGGGAAGTTCCCAGCTTTTACCAAGGGTAAGGTGTGGGGGCCAAAGTCAGGTTGTGCAGAGCTTCTGGGTCCATGCTACCAACGTCTAGATGCCCATGTCTAAGGCTGAAGTAGTCTGGGGTGAAAGAAACACGTTCTTTTGGCCTTCCAAATACCTACACCAGATGGCTGTTCCTAGGTGACAGTTGTCTCTCATCCTCCTCTCCCTGTGCTACAGCTCTGTGATGGCATGTGGTTAAGAATCAGCATAAAATGAAATGTGAATTGTGAACTTCGGTCTGCTTAGAGCGCCTTTGGAAACAAACAACTAAAAGCATCTCTGTTATACAATGATTTATTCTGACTCGTGATAACCTCGTGTATTAAAGAGTAGAACTGCTTCATAAACTTTTCTTGGCTGCAATCTTTACAGCAGCAGATTGCCTGGTCTGTCTTCCAAGGCACTTCTCAGCTGATTCTAACTGCCAACCTTTAGGTTAGTCCTCGAATGAATGCCACCCAGTAGCCATGGAGAACATTACATTTTTTATTGTCACTGGGAAAGACTGAAAACATTCACATGATCTTACATGAACTTGAAGGCATTCTATGAAATATAAATCCCCTCTTCTTCCTGCACTCTCCAGTTTGCTGGCTGGGAAAACATTTTGTTAATAACTTACACACAAAGTAAAAATAAGGATCTTTTGGATTCATTCTAATTTACTCTTTAAGCTTACTTATAGTTTCTTTTCTTTTTGTTCAGACAGTGAAGTATGTTGTTGCTGTTGCCATCAAGTTTTTCTGACTCAGAGCCACTCTATGGACTACAAAACTAAACACCTCCCAGTCCTGCGCCATCCTCTCAATCGTTCTTATGTTTGAGCCCATTGTTGCAGCCATTGTGCCAATGCATCTTGTCAAGGGCCTTCCTCTCTTTCCTTGTTCCTCAACATTAACAAGCATGGTATCCTTTTCCAAGGACTGGTTCTACTACTAACTTGTCAAAAGTACGAAGTCTCACCATCCTTGATTCTAAGGAGCATTCTGGTTGTAGTTCTTCCAAGAAAGATTTGTTGGTTCTTTTGACAGTCCATGATACTTTCAGTATTCTCTAACATCATAATTCGAATTTGTAGATTCTTCTTTGAGCTTGCTTATTCAATGTCCAACTTTCACATGCCTATGAGGCCATTGAAAATACCATGGCTTGAATCAGGTGCACATTAGTCCTCAAAGTAACATCTTTACTTTTCAGTACTCTAAAGAGGTCCTGTGCTGCAGATTTACCCAGTGCAATGTGTCCTTTGATATCTTCCCATATTTACAGCTGCTTCCATGAGCATTGATTGTGGATCCAAGCACTACAAAATCCTGGGCCACTTAAATCTTTTCTCTGTTTATCATATTATCTATTGATTCAGTTGTGAGGATCTTGGTTTTCTTTACATTAAGTTGTGACCCATACTGAAAACTAATCCTTGATCTTCATCAGTAAATGCCCCCAGTCTTCCTCACTTTCAGCAAGCAAGGTCGTGTCATTTTATATCATAGGTTGTTAATTCCTCCAAACCTAATACAGCTTTCTTCTTCATCTGATGCAGATTCTCTGCTTATTTGCTGACATACAGATTGAATAAGTGCAATAAAAGGCTACAACCCTGAAACACACCTTTCTTGGTTTAAACCATGCAATATTCCTTGGACTATTTGCACAACTCTCTCTTGATTCGTATCCAGGTTCCATAAGAGCACAATTAAGTTTTCTTGAATTCTCATTCTTCTCAGGGTTATCCATAGTTTGTTATGACCCACAGTCAAAAGCCTTTCCATAGTCAATAAAACACATGTAAAGATCTGGTGTTTTCTGCTCTCATCCAATAGCCATCTGACATCAGCAATGATGTCCCTTTTCCATTTCCCTTCTGAATCTGGCCTGAATCTCTGGTAGTTCCCTGTCAATGTACTGCTGCAACCATTGTTGGGTGATTTTCAGCAACACTTTATGAATGCTATTGTTCTGTAATTTGCACGTTCTGTTGGGTCACCTTTTTATAGAATGGGCACAAATATAGATCTCTTCCAGTCAGTTGGCCAAGTAGCCGTCTTTCAAATTTCTTGGCATAAATGAGTGAGTGATTCCAGTGCTGCATCAGTTTATTGAGACATTTTAATTGGTTCACATCAATTAATCGCCTTGTTTTGGCTAATGGTTTCAGTGCAACTTGCTTCAGGACTTCTTCAGGACCATTGGTTCTTGCTCAGATCCTCCTTAAAATGGTTGAATGTTGACTAATTCTTTTTGATACCGTGTCTGTGCATGTTCTTTCCATCTTCTTTTGATACTTCCCACATCGTTCCATATTCTGACCACACAATCTTTCAATATTGCAACCCGATCTGGAAGGTTCGTCTTTTGGCACAATCTCTGACAATGTTCTGCTGCTAATTAAGAGGTTTTCAGTATCTGACCATGTTCCATTGCTGTCCATACACTCTTCAGTGGCTAATACCTCTATTCCTTTCCCTTTTCCCTAATGGATTCTTAGTCTGGAAACTGCTGAAACCTGTTCACTTTGGATGACCCAGTGACATAACTTCCAGCATCATAGCA